CGCTGCAGACGCCGCTGCTGCGCCGCCGCCCCCCCTTCGCTCAGCCCACACGCTAGGAAGCCCCAGCAGCAGCAGCAGCAGCAGCAGCAGCAGCAGCAGCAGCAGCAGCAGCGCTCTGCATGCAGCAGCAGCAGGGACTTGTCCGTGGGCCCCTAGCGAGGGCATATACCCTGTGGTGGCTCAGCTGCCGGAGGACCTTTTCTCTTAATTTTGTCTTTTTATCTTTTCTTTTTTCTTTTTATTTTTATTTCTTTTTGTTTCTTTTTCATTTCTTTTTTGCTTTTTATTTCTTTTTTATTCCTTTTTATTTCTTTCAAATTCTCGGCCTTAGAGGGCGCTGCCAGCAGCTAGCTAGCCAAGTGTGGGGCCCCACAAGTTTTTTATTTGCTGCAGCAGACGGAAGGGTGCTGCTGTGGGCTCTTTTGTGGGGTGGGGCGCAGCAGCAGCAGCAGCAGCAGCAGCAGCTGCTGCTGCTGCTGCTGCTGCTGCTGAGGGTGTTTTTGGGGTGTACGTACACCTGAGGGCAGCGGCGGCCCCACTGCTGCGGCTCCAGCTTGTGAGCAGAGGGATCATTTAATTGATTTAATTAATTTAATTAATTTAATTAATTTAATTAATTTGATTTAATGGAATTAATTAGATTAATTATATTAATTAAATTAATTAAGTTGACTTAATTGCCTTTATGCTCAGTTTAGCTTGTGCGCAAAGCAAAAAGCGCAGCAGCAGCAGCAGCAGCAGCACCAAAAGCTGCGCTGCAGCAGCAGAATTCACAACGAAATGAAATAAACTCTTTAGCAGCAGCAAAAGGTGAAACTGAATTATAAACTTTGCTGCAGCACAGCAGCAAATGTGCTCTGCTGCTGCAGCAAAATGTGCTGTAGCAGCATGACCGCTGCTGCAGCAGCAGCAGAAGCCACAGTGCCGATATGAGCTGGAGGGCAGCAGCAGCAGCTGCCGCAGCAGCTGCTGCTGCTGCACTCCAGCTCAAAAATTGAACTAGGCAGCAGCAGCAGCAGCAGCAGCATCAAAACCCGTGGTAAAACATAGACTTGGCAGCAGCAGCAGCTGCAGCAGAAGCCGCCCTTGAAATACAAACTGGGCAGCAGCAGCAGCAGCAGCAGCATCAAAGCCCGTCATGAAAATATAAACTTGGCAGCAGCAGCAGCAGCAGCAGCAAAAACATAAACAGGGTTTACCCAAGGGCAGAATGGCTCACTGGGGTTTTCTTTTTGAGGGTTTAAGGCCTTTAAGTGGCTGCTGCTGCTGCTTTTTTGAACAAAAGAGCAGCAGCAAGTCTTTAATTTGTTTTGCTGCTGCTAAATTACTTTTTAAATTTATTTTTTTTTCGAAAAAGTGCCGAAAGAAGGAAGTGACCTCGGCGGCGGTTGGGGTGTACGTACACCCCAACGCGCAGTCGGCCGCGGCCGCGTCCACTCGTCCGCCCACTAATGCGTCATTTATATATTTAATTAATTTATTTGGAGTTATATTTTACATTTTTAAATTACTTTTTAATTAAATTTCCAAATTTCCGGACTTTTCGCAGCCACCAGCAGCAAAGAAGACCCGAAACACCAGCCCCACCAACCCCACGGTCCCAGCCCTGGCCTTCCCAAGCCCTAAACCCTAGCGCTAATAAATACCTTTTTCGAATCTTAATATCCTGGCGTTTTCTCTTTTAGGGTTTAGGGTTTAGGGTTTAGGGTTTAGGGTTTAGGGTTTAGGGTTTAGGGTCCAGGTCTGCGCCTCGCCCGTGAAACCAGGCCGGGGAGGCTCTAGGGTTTAGGGTTTAGGGTTTAGGGTTTGGATCCGACACGCCAATTTCGCGCTCACTGGACACGAGGCGCGGCGCAAACCCTCTCGCCCTCTCAAGGGCTGCCAGCCTGCGAGGGTTTAGGGTTTAGGGTTTAGGGTTTAGGGTTTAGGGTCCAGGGTTTAGGGTTTAGGGTTTGGAGATGGATGGGTTCGACGAGGGTTTCGAAGACCTCTTGGCTGAAGCCGAGCAGTTCGAGGCCCCGCCAGCTGCCTTCAGGGGGCCCCCCGGGGGGCCCCCCCCGGGGGCCCCCCTCGGGGGGCCCCTCCCCCAGACTTGGGGGGCCCCTGGGACTCATATGACGAGGGGGGCCCCCTCGACAGCTCCCAGGGGGGCCCCCTGTCCCTTGAGGAGCAGCTGAGGGCCCTGCAGTCCCAGAACAGTACCCAGTGGGACCTTGGGGGCCCCCCGGGGGCCCCCCTGGGGGGCCCCCCCGAGGGGCCCCCCGCGGGGCCCCCGGGGGGCCCCCCCGAGGCGGATGAGGATGGCCAGGGGCCCCTCAAGAGGCAGCGAGGCAGTGAGAAGAGAGCGGACGCGCTAAGTGCTGCTGCTGCTGCTGCTGCTGCTGCTGCTGCCTCTGCTGCTGCCAGCCCCCTCACTCCAGCTGCCGCTCGCAAACGGAGGAAGCAGCAGCAGCAGCAGCAGCAGCAGCAGCAGCAGCAGCAGGCAGCAGAAGCAGCAGCAGCAATTAGCGTGGATGATGAGGAGGAAGACAAGTTGCTGGCAGCAGCAGCAGCAGCGCTGCAGCCGCCAGTCTTCTTCTTCGACCTGGGGCACCTGCCCTACCTCTCGCTGCTGCCCCCCAGCAGCAGCAGCAGCAGCAGCAGCAGCAGCAGCAGCAGCAGTGTGGGGTTTGCAAACGCAGAAGAAGCAGCACAAGTTGCTGCTGCTCTTCCTCAAGCTGCCCACAACAGCAAAGGGGGCCCTGCTGCTGCTTACCTGCGGAGCTGTCTGTACACCTCAAGTACGCGCTGCCGCTTCGCCCCACAGCTGCTGGCCAAAGCAGCAGCAGCAGCGCAGCAGCAGCAGCAGCAGCAGCAGCAGTCTGCTGCTGCTGCTGCTGCAGTAGCCGAAGGCGCAGTTCGAGTGCTGCCGCCCCACCCTGTGGGTGGAGGCACTGTGGGGCCTCCGGTGTACGTACACCTCATGTCTAAGGAGGAGCAGCAGCAGCAGCTTGCTGCTGCTGCTGCTGCAGCAAGAGACAGCGCCTGCTGCAGCAGCAAAAGGCCCATGGAGGAAGTGCTCAGGTGCGCCTCTCCACAGCTACAGAAGCATGCAGCAGCAGCAGCGGCTGCTGCTGCTGCTTTCGAAAGAGGCTTTTGCTGCTCTACACAGCCGAAACAGCTGCTGCTGCTGCTGCAGCTGCTGCTGCTGCTGTTGATTTGCTGCTGCTGCTGGTTTGCTGCTGCTGTGCTTTCGTGTGCTTTCAGGGAAATTATGGAGGCGCAGGCCGCCCGGAGACAGGAGACGGAGCTGCTGCTGCAGCAGCACCAAGAGAGGCAGCAGCGGCAGGCGCAGCAGCAGCAGCAGCAGCAGCAGCAGCAGCAGCGCAGCGCAACGCAGCAGTGGGTGGATCTTTACAGGGCTAAAAGGTGAGTTTGTCTTTTTGCATTTCTGCTGCTGCTCACTTCCTTTTCTTTTATTTAATTGTTTTTAATTAATTAATTAATTAATTAATTAATTAATTAATTAATTAATTAATTAAAATTTAATTTAATTAATTTTTTAATTCAATTTTCAAATTATTCCCTTTCGCAGCTGAGCTGTCTGTACACCGCGGGGTGTCTCGACAGCCCAGCAGCAAAATGGCAGCCAAGCAAATAATCCATTAAGTCATTTGACAGGGCTTATTCAAGTATTTGCTGCTGCTGCTGCTGCTGCTGCTGCTGCTGCTGCGCTGCTGCTGCTGCTGCGCTGCTGCTGATGCTGATGCTGCTGCTGCGCTGCTGCTGGTGGTGCTGCTGCTGCTGCGGTACTGCTGCTGCTGCGGTACTGCTGCCGCTGCTGCTTTGCTGCTGCTTTGCTGCTGCTTTGCTGCTGCGTTGCTGCTGCTGCTGCTGCGCTGCAGTCCTTTGGAGCTGCTGTCTCCAGACGCAGAAAACCGAATTGTCTTCCGGTGGCTGCTGCAGTGGAAGCAGCAAATAAGTGCGCGCAAAGCAGCAGCTCGTTTGGAGAAGTTGGGGGGTTTGGCCAGTTCAAATAAACCCAGCAGCAGCAGCAGCAGCAGCAGCAGCAGCAGCAGCAGCAGCAGCAGCAGCAGAAGCGGCAGCGGCAAGCAGCAGCAGCGCAGCATGGGAGAGCCGGAGCACAAAGTGGGACTTTTCACGAAAGATTTTTAATTCAAATTAATTTAATTAATTTAATTAATTTAAATTGACTGAATTAATTAAATTAATTCAAATTAATTAATTTAAATTAATTAATTAATTGCAAATGGCGGACTTTTAAACAATTCCAAATTAATAAATTTCTTTAAAAGCAAAAACGGCAGCAGCAACAAAGACAGCGAAGCAGCAAACAAGCAAAGGAAGCTGCTGCCGCATCTGCTGCTGCTGCTTCATCTGCTGCTGCTGCTTCATCTGCTGCTGCTGCTTCATCTGCTGCTGCTGCTTCATCTGCTGCTGCTGCTGCTGCTGTAGCTGCCGTAGCTGCCCGTGTTGCGCTGCCGCTGCTGCTGCGGCTGCTGCTGTGGCCGCCTAAGCTGCTGCTGCTGCTGCGGCTGCTGCTGTGGCCGCCTAAGCTGCTGCTGCTGCGGCTGCGGCTGCTGCTGTGGCCGCCTAAGCTGCTGCTGCTGCTGCTGCTGCAGCGGACTTGCTGCTGCGGGGCTGTGGGGCCGCAGGTGCTGCTGATTGGGGGGCCCCACGGCAGCGGGAAAACCACTTTAGCAGCAGTTGCTGCAGCACATTTGGGGTTTGAAGTTGTGGAAATAAATGGAGCTGACACAAAAGCTGCTGCGCTGCTGCTGCCCCTTTTGAAGGGCGTCGCCAGCAGCGGGGACTGCTACTTCCGCCCCAGCAGCAGCAGCAGCAGCAGCAGCAGCAGCAGCAGCAGCAGCAGCAGCAGCAGCAGCAGCAGGGGCGGGAGCAAAACGAAGCCGGTGCTGCTGCTGATTGACGATGTGGAGGCGCTGGCGCAGCAGGGAGCAGCAGCAGCAGCAGCAGCAGCAGCAGCAGCAGCAGAACCA